GGCCCTCAGAATGGGAGCTCCCCAAGAGCAGGCCTCGTCTGGTTTATTGATGGTGGGGCCCCCACTGTGCCTGATGCATAGTGGATGCTTAATAAAGAGCTGTAAGTGAAAGCGAGCAACTAAACCTGGGGGTTCGGTGGGAGCAGAGAAGGCTTCCCAGAGGAGCCTTGTTTGGCTGAGGCCTGAGGTTGCGTAGGAATTAGCCAGGCAGGGAAGAAACAGTGTCCGGGTCACACCTGTGGTTTTGAGCCCTATCTAGTCATAGCAGAGAATGCAGGCAATGAATGGGGGGCCAAGCAGGGGCGGAGAGAGAGGAGCACACAGGCAGAGTGGTGAGTGACGAGAATGGTGAGGTTGGAAGTGGTCAGGCACAAAGGGCTTTGTAGGCTGTTAAGGAGTTTGGGGCCCTCTGAGAAAGAGAGCGGGAGCACAAAGCAGGGAAGGGTTAGTTAATGAGTGGAAGCCACTGGAAGGCCCAGGGATACTTTCAGGCACCCTGCAGAGCATGTAGGGGAAGCAGGGAGAATGTGGGCTCTGGCTCTGGATTCAGGTTCCTAGGAGTTTAAATCCTGGCTCTGTCCCCCATCAGGCAAAGAGTGGGGTCAAGCAAATGGGTCCTGGAATCTCAACCTAGAGACTTACTCTCCATTTCCTCATCTGCAACATAGGAATAATGAAGGTTCCCTGGCTTGAGCGCCACTATGCATGGGGCAGCCTGCCCTTGGCCCCTGGGAGCCCTAAATCTGACCCTGATAAAGCCCCAGATGTGGACACATCTTCCTCTACCACTACCCTGAGAAGGTAAAAGAAGAGCAGAAATGGAGGTAAGGCAAGTGAGGGCTCTTTGCCACACGGTCTGGGGTCCAGACTGGCTGCCCAGGCCCTTCTCCTGCTAGACTGATGGAGGAGGACGCAAAGTGGGCAGAGAGCTCCAGACCTCTGCCCCACTGTGAACCCCCCTCGTAAACGACCTCCTGATTCCTATATAAACCCGAATATCACATTCACCCAGTTCGAATCTTCTTGGGCTAATGTTCCCTGTAGAGTGGCCGCAGGGGCCCCGGGGGTAGGGAATCTACTGTGGGAGGCAGAGCTAGAGAAGGATGAACGCTTTGGAAAGAGTTCTAGCAGTTACTACGACAATTCAGTCAGGTAGGGCTTCTAAAGTGCTTAGCCGTGTCGGGCACACGGAGGCACTCAAAAATTATTTGTTGGGTGGATGAATAAACATTTTCATTTTTTGTTTTCTATTTTCATTTTTATTAGCTATGTGGTTTGGGCAAATTACCTAACCTCTCTGAACCTGAGTTTTTTTCACTTGCGAAATAGAGACTGTTCTCTTCCTTGGAGGGTGATGGTGTGGATTAAGAGCTGGCACCTACTAAGCATCTGGCACATAGTACGTGCTCAAAGGAGGGGAAGGCAGATTGGGAAGGCTGCTCTGTCCAGCCTGGAAGCTGGAGCCAAGTCATCTTCTCCAAGCCCGTGGCCCCGACTCTTCTCGTCCATCCTTACCCACCTCTGATCCTTCCTCCCTCCCTCTTTCCTCTCTTATCTGCATCCTCTCCTTGCACAGGGACGTTCAGTCCATCATTCACACTCTGCCCCCGTGCAGGCTGCTCCCTCTTATCAAAAGCCTCTCAGGAACCCAGCTCCTCCTCCCAGCCCCTCCCTCCCTCCCTGCTCCCGGCCTCTCCCAGACAGGAGGGGGACAGAGATAATGAGAGAGGCTCCTCTGAGCGTAACAATGAAGAAAAGGAGTTGTGTTCGGCTGATGAGCAATCCAGGAGAGGAGGTGTTGGGGTTGGATGGCGGGGAGGCTGGGGGACGCTGGAGCCACTGACACCGGCTTCCTCCTGGGCCCTCCCTCCTTGCTGAGTTGGAAGGTCTGTGGATGAGGGACCCCGTGGCAGGTGACTGTTCTGTTCTGCTCTGCACTTCCGTGTGGCCTTGAGTGAGTCACTGGTCACGTTGGGCCTCTGTGGCCACATCTGTGTTGTGACAGCTTTTAGTGTGCTAGGCCCTGGGGTCACAGGGATCCCCGCAGATATGCCCTCGGCCATCTTGCGGTCTCTGGGAGGCATGGCCATGAATTAGGTGGTCATGCTTTTTTTTTTTTATTTCACCTGTGATAAGTACTTTTGGGGGAAGTTCATGGCTCTAACCCCGGCTGCGGACATCCATCCAGGGCGGCTTTCCTGAGGATAAACAGGACCGAGCCAGGGAAAGGGGTGGGGAGACAGGGAGGGCAGGGAGGCAGGGAGGTCCAGGCTGAGGGAACAGACCAGAGGGAGCGACCGGGGACTGAGGGAGAAGGCAAAGATGGAGGATGGGTGGGAGAGGGAGGCAGGGCCATCCTGTGGGCAGGGAAGGCTGTGCTTGGATTTTTATTCTATAAAATGATTTATAGAACATTTTATTATAAATACATTTATAAACATATAAAATTATAAACAAAATAGAATTATTTGATTCTGTCATGGAGCAGTCACTGGACAGTTTTGAGTAGGAGAACAGTGTGACCTGGTCTGACGTGGAAAAAGCCCTCGGGGGCTCTGGGTGCAGAGTGGATTGGGGAGGGAGGGGAGGCCAGGAGAGCGGCGAGGAGACCGCTGCGGCGGTCCAGTGGCCGGGCAGCGCCCACCAGCGTCTCTCAGAGCCTGGTTGAAGTCAGGGCACCTCCATGTGGTAGAGGTCCCAGTATATGAAAAGGCCAAACCTGAGTCACAGCGACTGGAGGTGTTGCCTCATTTGAACAGATGCCTGAAGTCTGAACTGGAGGCTCTTCTCGAAAGTGAGACCAGGCCACACGGCTCTGTGCAGTCGGGCCCCTACCCCGCCCCGTGATCAGGCCTGGACTTGGAGTGGTGGAGAGGCCGAGGGAAATAGGCGGAATCAAGAACCACGTAGGAGGCAGGAGGAGGACGGCTTGGCGACTGACGGCTGTGTCACTGTCGCTTGTCACTACTCCCTCCCTGACCACACTGCTGTTCCCCCCGGCCCCCTGCAGGGTGCGCCCCCCTTGTCTTGCCCTTGTCCTGCCCTGGCTCCAGGGACATCCTTTCCAAATGGACGGTCTGGAGCCAGTGTCCTGTGTCCCCTACGAGGTAGCACGGCCCTGCTCGCCAGCTCGCCTGGCTGCTGCGCCCCGTGCCGCCCTGGTCTGAACTGCAACGTGGGGGCTGTCATTTGGGTGTGGGGCGAGAGGCACTGAAGGCCACCCCCGGCCGGCGGGAGCAGCAGCTGCCACTGTTGTCCTGACCTGCCTGTCCTCGCAGGGCCCTGAACTGGCCCCCAGCCCCAGCCCCGCTCCTGCCCTCCACGAGGCCCAGAGTTAGGTGGCCCCCCTTCAGCTTCCCCAGCCCCACCCTGTCCTCAGTGTCCAAAGTTGGGGCCCCTTGGACCCCACGTGAAAACCTGGGTCCACCCTGGTCCTGACTGTTGTCACACGCGGCACGTGTGCACACGCGTGCCCTCACACGAGCCCACACGCTCTTACACGCCGTCTCTTCTCACACACACAGACATCTTCCCACCACCCAGCCCACTTCCACTCACTCGACCTCTGGCTCACCCGCCACCTTCGTGCGCAGACCACCCTGCAGGTCCCGTGGCCTAGCGCCGGGCTGAGCCCACTGCAGGGCGGCCCTTGGGGGTTGCTGCTGCTTTGACCCAATTGCGGTTCTGGCCCCAAGTGCCCTCCCAGGCCTGGGCCTGCTGACTCTGCCCGGCTGCCACCCTGGAAGGTGGCCTGTCCATCCCTGCCCTGCAGCCTGAATCCTGAGGGGGCCGCCTGCCCCAGGCCCCACCCTCGGGGAGCACCTTCCCTGATGGCCCTGCCCAGGGCGACACCTCGGGGCCCTGGGGAAGTGTCAGTGGCACCGCTGGGTACGGAGTCTGGAAACCCCACTCGTGAGAGGGAGGACGCCACTCCAATTGCCAGCCCACGGCTGTCCTGGGAAAGGGCAGAAGCCACCCTGCCGGCTGCTGCCGTGTTCGCCCACCCAGCTTCCACCCCCTCTTCTCATTTCCCCTGGGACACCTCTGCCCAACTCTCAGGCCACGAGCTTTTGGTGTCTCGGCAGATGGGCACCATCCAGAATGGGCCAATCAGGGCCCCATCCTCTGGCCACTGTGACCTGTTCAGGGAGGGACACAGGCCCTGGAGGTGACCGCCAGGGTTTTGGTTCTGCTCCACCACTTCCTCGCATGTGATCTCGGGCAAACATTTAACTTCCCTGTGCCTCAGTCTCCTCATCTGTACAATGGCGATAATACAGTCCCCACTTCATAGGGTTGTCGTACAGATGGAGTCACGTAAAGGGCTCAGCACAGAGGAAGTGCTCAATAAACATTAGCTTCTGGCATTAGTGGAACTACATTTGGTGTCTTCTGATGGAGCAGTTGGGAAAGAGAAGTGTTTTTTTCTGGTATTGCTGAAGGTACTGCTGGAACTGCTGGAGGAATCTTGCCATCCTGAGGGGAAGCCTGCCTGACAGTGAATCCTGCACAAAGGAAAGCAGTGCAAAGATGGGGAAAGAAGGACTTAATCCTCATGATATCACTTGAGCCCCTTGATCCAGCTGTTCCTGAAGACCTATCCCTGGACTACTCAGGCACATAACCAATCAAATCTTTGCTTTTTCTTCCTTTTTTGCTTAAGTCACTTTGAGTTGGGTTTCTATCATTTGTAATAAAAAGAGTCTTATCGATCCACAAGTCCTAGCTATGTCAGCCTAGACACATCACTTTCCTCTCCAAGACTTAGTTTCTGCATCTGTAAAATGGGAGTTTCATCACCTACCTTATGGGGTGGTTTCAAGGATTAATGGGCAGCCCATGTAGAGCACCATGCTCAGTACCAAACGCAGAGGAGGGGCTTAGTACATTTCTCTTCCATCCCATCTCCTCTAAGTCCTGCCTCCACCCTGTGCAGGTGTGTCTGGAAACCCAAGGCAGGATCCACGACCCCCAGGCCTGAGTCCTCCCGAGCAGCAGAATCCGATTGGTATAGCCTTTATTGTTTCTCCAGCATTTTCCAGAAGAATGGTGTCATTCCAGGGCCGCGGGGGACAGGGCGGAGTAAAAAATAACATAAACAAACTCAACAGAAACGCAGGAGGGAGGCAAGAGGGGCTGAGATAGGGCGTCCGGGGCAGGGAGGTGGGAGACCTGGAGCAGAAGGAGCCTCCTAGCTTTCAGCCACCAGAACGGAGAATTCTGCGAAAGAAGAGGGCAAAGAAGGGAGTCAGAGGCGGACAGGCAGAAGGACCGGGGCCCGCACGGCGCTTTCTCTAGGTCCTCACGTCTGCTGCCGAAGACCTGGAGCTATGGGATGAGTGAGTGTGGGAGTGAATGAACGAATGAATGAATGAGATGGGAAATGGCAAGCCTACCACATCTTTTGCTTCATGATGTCATAAAGCAAATGATTAATTATTATTAATAATTATTATTATTAAATTATTAACAATAACTACAAATTATATTATTACACAAATTCTTAATAACGACAATAATAATAGTAATGATAATTTTATGACTATCATATGCTAGTCACAATTCTAACACTTTACATGCAATATCTTTTTTGACTCTGACAATAATCCTATAATGTGCATTTTATCATTATTGCCATTCTACATTGGGGAAACTGAGGCTCAGAGGCCAGCAATTTTTACAAGGTCACATAGCTAGTAAGAGGGAGGGCCAGGATTCAGACGCAGGTCTGTCTGACCTCGGACTCTGAGCTCTTTCTCAGCGACTTGTCTAGTTGTTCCCCAACTGCCCATCAGGATCACCAGCAGAATCTAAGAAGATACAGATTCCCAGGCCCTTGCCCTGGAATTTCTGACTTAGGAGGTGGGGTAAGGGAAGAGTTATTTTATTTATTGAAAGATGATTCTGGTGAGCAGCCAGGTTCAAGAACCACCCTGTGCTCTTCCTCCTCGGGGGACCGAGCAAGACCCCGGAGGAGCCCTGAACACGTGGTGACCTCTCCACGTAGCTGGGAGGGGTGAGCGCGGCACAGGCGCTGGGAAGGAGTGGGCTCTGTCTCACCAGCTCCTCCTTTAACACTCTTCACAGACACTCAGGACACTGGGAGTCATTATCCCCATTTTACAGAAGGGAAAACTGAGGCCCAGGGAGGAGAAGTGACTTTCAGAGCCTCCAGGGTTGTAAGTGGCTGAGTTGCGATTCAGGGTCTGGGGTCCAAGTTCCGCCCAGCTTCACCTAATGTTAATTAATGATGTCAGAGGCTAGTGTCGGCACTAGGGGGCGATCAAGTGCCTCTAGTGAATCCAACTCCACCTGAATGAACAAAGGGACGGCCCCAACCAGGTGAGGGGAGACATGGGGAGCAGGAGGAGATAGTCCTACCCAGGAGCTTCTGGTCTAGTTGGAGAAGAAGACTATATCTGGCAGGAAGTGCTCCGTGCTGCTGGCCTTTCTCTGAACCTCCAGCATGCCAAGGGCATTCCCACCTCAGGATCTTTGTGCCTGCTGTTCTCTCCAAGTGGGACACTCTCCAGACTGTCTCACGGCTAGCTCCTTCTCCCCTGGTCTCGGCTCAAGTGTCACTCTTCAAGGGGCCTTCTCCGACCACTCTGGCCAATGTAGTGGCCCACCCGACTGTGATCCTCTTTGCGGTCACCATTTTTTATTATATTCACAGCACTTACCACCCTCGAAATACTTCTGAGTACATCTTGCTTACTCATCTGTCATCTGCCTCTCCCATTGGAACTCTCCAGACCCCACCCGCCTTGTTCACAGCTCCATCCCACCACCTGGCTCAGTGCCCAGCACTGAGGGGCCCCCCATATTTGTGAAAGGATGAGGGGGCACAGAGACTTCGCTTTCACAGGGAGAAAAGGCGCCTTCTACAGAATCAGCACAACCTTCAGAGGGAAGGTGAATCTGGTGGAGTCCTGTAAGAAGATGCAGGATTCCCATAGGAAAAAGCAGATGCGGGACGGGATCGCAGGTGGGGCCTTTCTTGGTCAGGCTCAGAGGGCAGGAAACAGTGGGGTGTATTTGGGAAAGACCCAGTAGCCGTGCTGGGCTGGCATCTATGTGATAGCACTAGTGCAGTTGAAGAGGCCTGGGCCCCAAATCTGGCTCTGCTGCTTATGGGCTGTGTGACCTCAGAAAAGGCACCTAACCTATCTGAACCTCATTGTCACCATCCGTAAAAGGAAGAAAAGTCAACTCTGCTTCCTGAGTTGGAGATGGTCAGAAGAGATACGTCCTGGCACACAAGAGGTCCTCGCCCCCACTGTGAGATCCTCTGCCTCTGTTTTCCGTGTCCTTTCAACTGTGTCCTCGCTGTGGTGGTCAAAGGGGTGACTGCTCAGCAGGGAGACCCTCTGAGACCTTTATATGGAATCAAGGGGCCCAGGGAGTGTCCTCTCTGTTATTTTTCTCTCCAGGAGACGAGAGAGGACAAAAGGAGTTTGCCACCCTCTGCCACTACGTGTCTCTGAGATGCCATGTCCCCAGTCTGCCAGAGTGTGGGGCCCCAGGTAAGTCCCCATCGCCTCTAGAAAATGCAGCATCATGATGTGGGGACAGCACGAGGGGGGATCAAGAGTTGGGGGTCCAGAAGCAGCCACCGCATTTGGTGGGAAATGTACCTCTTTGGGCATCAGTTCCCCCATCGGTCCGTGGAGTGAAGTGGGGGGGCAGTAACAATTCCTTGTGAGAGACAAACGAAACACTGGATGTGAAGTGGCTTCAAAATGGCCACAAGAGATATCTGGGGGCACCCTTGAGGTTCGCCCCACCCTCCCAGGCTCTGTATGAAGCACTTACGTAAAAAGCTCACAGTGTAATTTCTTAGTTCTCATCATTGCACCAGGGTCCTGTAAAATGTCAGCCTTGGGGATGCTGGGTGAGGGGTATACGGAACTCTCTGGGCTGTTGTTGCAACTCTTCTGCAAAGCCAGAATTATTTCAAAACAAAAAAAGGGATAAAACAAAAACCAACCAAACCCATACATGCTGTTGTCACGGAAATGACTGGCGCTGACCCCCCACGTGGAGGAAACAGACCCGGCCTCCTCATCTTTCTAGGGTGTGATCTGGGAAATGGACACCACCCACTCCTGTCCCCAGGCTGTCCCTGAGGACAGGAAGGCAGTCTGGGTATGACTCAAGGTGGGAGAGAGGGAGGGTCCTCCAGCTCATCCTGAGAACGCCCAGGGTCACGGGCTGAGTGATAACAGTGAGTGGCAGGGATGGAACTCGACACCAAACACTCTAACAATCCCTCCCATGGGCCAGGTGTCAGAGTTCACTTTCTCAGCCATGGGTTCCCATGACCCTACAGCAGGTGGTTCTTTTGAGGTGTCTTTTATCATTAGTGCTTTGATTAATATTGTCCATTTTTATAGAATTAAAAAATTCTTAATTATTGAATGCCTACATGGGAAGTTTTTTGCATATATTATCTCATTAAATTCTCATGACTACTCCATCGGAGGGATGCTTTCGGCTGCATGCCAAGAGTTAGGAAGCTTGACCAAGATCACACAGTGGACGTGATTCAAGGACGATGCTCTTAGGCTTCCTTCTTTACCCCAGAGGTTTCTGACCTACTTTGACCTAGGTATAGAGTGACACACGAGCCAGCTCACATATCGCTACCCCTGACTGTCATAGTAGCCCTTTTTAATTCACTTCATGGTACTTAGCACTCTCGGAAATGATCTAATTTCTGTACTTACTTATTTTTGTGGTATCTTCCTATTAGAATGTAAACTCCAGGAGGGCAGAGGGCCCTGTCTGTCTGGTTCACCACTCTCCTAGCACTAGAACAGACCTGACACAAAGCAGGTGCTAGTGAATGGATGCCAGATGGATGGATGGATGGATGGATGGATGGATGGATGGATGGATGGATGGATGGATGAAGAGATGGATGGACGGATGGATAGGTGGACGGATAGATGGATAGATGGATGGAAGGATGGATGGACGGATGGACAGATGGACGGATGGATGGATGGGTGGCCCGTGAGTCCTCCTTAGGGTTCAACAAGTACCAATTTACCTCACATAATTCTCATGACAGTCCTGGGAGGTAAGTGGGATGATTCCCATTTTATAGAAGGAGAAATGGAGGCTTGGAGAGGTGAAGTGTCAGGGGCATGTGGAAAATAAGAGGCAGAGCTAGCACTTGGCCTGTGGTCTCAGGAACACCCCGTACATGAATGTGGAGAGGCCGTTCCTGGTTGGGCTAGCATCCCAGATTGGGTGGAAGCATGAACTCTCTCCAGCTTCAACCCGCCATTTAACGTGGAACTCTGGCCAGAGCCAGTCTATCCCGTCCTTGAGCACTGAGTTGCTCTGTCCTGGGATAAAGGAGGCATGAGCCCATCCTCAACACCAGCTGATGGAGAGACTGTCAAGGGGGGAAGTCGGTCCTTACTGTTTCCCGGCCTGCACTGACCTCCCTAACCCTCACCCTAGAAATTACAGGTTCTCGGGATGCCCATCAGCAAAGAGCCCATTAGTCACCTTCACACTGGTCGGCACCTGGTGCAGTCAGGGGGACCAAGGAACACCGACCAAGGGACTCTCCGGGGCTTGAAAGTCAGGCGTTTTGGAGCCTGACTACGGGAGATATTTTGAACCTGTGGGGTTTCGAAAACCTCTGAAAACAGACCCCTCTGCCCACCCTGGGATCTACTCTGAAGCAGCCAGGATGTCACAATGGCCACATGCCCTGGCTTTTTGCAGAGAACACAAGATTCTAATTTTATCCTCCCGGAACCTGGAGCAGGGCACTTTGTAGACAAATTGAGGACAGAGGTCACCTCTTCTGTACTTTTCCTATCTCCCTCGGGGCAGAGGGCTTAGGAACCAGTCAATTAACAAACAGCTCTCCTATCAAAAAAACATTTCTTCTAAAATGTCCACGTTTCTCCTTGAAGAAAAACAAATGAATAAACATACCAAGACTGTAAAGTCTAGGTCAACTGATTTGGCAGTAGGAGGCTGGGACCGGGAATGCGGCATCAGATGATGGGGGTCTAGTCTTGGCTCTGCCATCCACTCGTGTCCCTGGACGAGACACCTCAGTTGCCCAGGTCTTCATTTTCTTATCTGTGCAGTATCGGGTCTAAAACATGCCTTTCCAGCTCTCCCACAGTTGGGAGTTGGGAGTCAACTCCCAACTCCCATTTCTTGCTTCTACGACCTTGGACTAGATACTT